TTTGCCCCCAAGCACATAATGCCTACCAGCGTATTTAATTTCAAACACATTGATATTGGCTGTGCATGATCGCACTTGCTAGTCAGCGACAGCTGTTGATACGGTTTCGCTGAGTTCAAGATCAGTGAGTGCATGAAAGTAGGAGTTATTTTAACTTTTTAACTGTATTTCAATTAAACCACATCGTGTCTGCTTAAAGGGGCTTGGAAGGCCCTGTTTACCTCTATGGTGAAACTTACGAGCACGATGTTAACGAACATATGATCATAATCAGGGTAAGCCTGGGATTTCAAACCACGATCTGGGGATCATGACACATCCAAGGGACGCAACTCTGTACAGATGAGCCATTCATACAAATCAACAAAGTGATGTTTAGATATGTCAAATCAACACTGAGTACGGGTTTAATACAAAATTGTTGCGCCAACAAAATAAGGATCACGATCGGGGCAAATCTGAAATTGAGGGGAAACCGCCTAAGTGGTCTAGTGGTAGAGCGTCCGCCCGGAGAGCGGAAGGTCCGGGGTTCGATCCCCGGCCGCGTCATACCAAAAGACGTTAAAAGATGGTGCCTGTTGGTACCCTATCTGGCGCTCGGCTTTCAGGGGCTAAAACAAGGACTGGTCGGCTCGGAGTCAGTATACTGTGTCTAAATTTGGTATTCTTGTTAAACTGTGGCATGGTAATAATCATGGACGCGACTTTAAACCCCATTTCACCTCGCCTGAAATTGAGTGGGCACGCCAGAAACTATGACTGTAGGTTCGAATCCTGGTTCGCCGCGATAATGTTTCTAGGTTTGTGGGTTTCACCAAAGTGGTAAACGTCTGAGTCTAGCTTCACCTCGGGATTCCCTCCCACATCAAGCTGACACGCCGTTGTATAACTGGAATACTGTTGAATCCGCCAAGAAGGCGGTATGTTGTAAGGAATATGGTGGTAAATACTTTCTGTACATGTGTACACCAACACGCCAAGAGCCACACACCCATCCCGTAATAAATAACAAGTCCCTAACCTTAGGCACAATCCACATCTGCTGTATGTATAGTTTAATCATCTGTACACGTGGATTATTTGCTGTGAATTAGTGACGCATGTCGTATTAGTCAGCTACTAAAATGAGGACACTTGTAACTCACTGAGGTCAGATGATGCCTACTCCGGGCTATGGAGCCAGATATTGAAGCAATGCGAAGATGCCAGCAAGGCTCTATTTCAAATTTTGGCGAGAAAAATTGGCGATGTAATCTGAGCGCCCATTGGTCAGAGCACTCGCTGGATTTCCTTTCTCTAGAACCAGGTTGCCGCTTGATTCGTAGGTTAAAAATAGCATCTACGCGACAAAGCGGTCCTACCTATACACACGTAGCTCTTAAAGAAACGGAATATATTGTATGTGTAAATATAAAACGTCAGGGCCAGAGAATAGCCAGTGTCGATTCCACAAGGCGTAAAAGGCCATTCGTCACCACTCGCCCCTTTCCGTAACCTGCAAGAAGACTCGTCCCCCTATCGATGAATGTTATGTGCGAAATACGACAAACCAATCAGAATGCGCGTATGATTTCAAGTTCTTCGTCAAAGAAACCCTCAGAAATAATTTTTGATTTTATACATGTCTTGCATCTTAAAATATACCCAAGACACAGTTAAATGTGTTCAATCCTACTGTATAATTCCGCATGTCCCGATGTGCTGTTACTTGCATCTGAAATATATATAATATATTGGGAAATATATTTGAACCATCACGCACCGAGTTGACAATTGTTTTAGGTATGCCCGTTTGCGCTAAGACGGAACCCGGTCGCAAAACTGGCCATGGGAGGGGCACGAATGGTAAAAGGCAAAATAGCGGTAAAAACTACATGGATCACTGAAAATCAGTGATGACACCAGGCGTTCGCGAAAGAGCAGGCATGTCCTGCTGTACCAATGGTCACACAATTTGCATAAAAAAGTAAGTGTTTGTTTGTTGCCCGACGCTTCACAGCAGCACTCCTGCTATACGATGGGGACTAACCTTTTGCTGCCGACCAACAATTTAATAATTCAGGGACCCTTGTTTGATTACGGCTATTAAAGCATATCGATGAATAAAGCGACATCAGTGGCTTTGTAACTAAAACAGCAGTCAAGTTCATCCAAGGATGATTTGTGTGTAACACTCCCATTAACCATATTAGATGTCACTGTGATAAGCATATGTTGCAGACTAAAAGAGTTGTAATTACTTCAGTACAGTACGGTGATACTGCTATATCTGATAGCGAAGCAGCCTATAACTGCAGCTGTGCATCCTCCCGAGGCAAGGACGTTAACTGACTACAAAAGTCCAGTTCCCCCACCCTTGCCGAACAAGCTGGCATTTCCAGGCGCAACCAGTGGCTATTACGAGTTATGTCCCTTTTATGTCCCTCCTACTGACCAATCAGATTCCATCACTCATATCACGTTTCGGTAGATATCCACATACCGTTGTCAAGCCTTATGTGCGCGAAATACGCATATGTCGGAATGCGCACGTAAAATTCCTAATTTAAGGATCTACACCCAAGCGTCGCCTTTACAGTAATTAAAGAAGTTGTTATCCATAAATTGTCTCTACTTTGTCATCCGTCATCTTCTAAGCAATGCCTATCAAACAATTCACTTGCATTTGCTTCAAACAAAATGGCGCCCCCCCCCCCCCCCCCCCCAGTGAAAAAAACCGATCGGATCGATAACCAAGATCTTTATTGTAAAAATACGGATCGTACGCCGCGAAAAAACATCAAATCACTTGAGCACCTTGATTAATAACATGATTGCAAAATATCTGTCGATGCCCAATTGGCGATACACATGTTTTGCAAATCATTCAGTCAACCGAATCTGCACGTTGAAATCCATGTAGTTCGTTACGCGATTTTGATTGGACTATGCACAGACTCGTTAGTCCAGCCAAAATGTAACTCTTGGAACACGGGAGCTGGACCTTTAAAGTCAGATAACGCCCTTGCCTCGGGAAGATGGCAGCTGTGAGTCCACCTGTGTCTTTGAAAAAATAATTGGTCCTCATTTCATACCTAAAGAAATATTGTTCTCTAGAAATGCTGAATGCCCTGGATAAAATGTTCGGCTCGGCACAGATAGAAATACGTGTTTTGATTTAGTGACTGAAAACACATTTGTCGCTAACGGAAATACCACGCCCTTCCTAGAATATTCAATGAGGGTCCCTAGTTGTGGGTAATATAAAGTACAAATTCCCAGGATGCAGGACCTTGTTTGTTGTACAACGCCGCACTCAGCAATATTCCAGCTAAATGACGGCGGTTAATCAGACAATCTAGTTATTACTATTGTGATCAACGATCCACGTCGTAGATTAATTAAATAAATATTCGTTGTGTTCTTTGTAATTCCTGCATTCTGATCAGCTGAATTGGTCACGTGTTATTGCATTCATTTCCCAATGAATGTAAACATTTAGGCCACGCCCACCGAAGCGGACTACTTTTTATTACTTAGGAATGTCGGGGAATCCCAATAGTACAGTCCAGGGAATTCCCTTTCTCCTCACGTGTATCGTCATGCACGGGACATTTAGCGACATTCATGCATATTCATTGTCCAAACCACCCATTAAGACCGAAGGCCGAGAAGGAATGAAACAGCAAACGTGCAGTCTCCCTCGGCTGTTTTTTTTCCACTTGCCACAAATTCCATGTCTTCGAGTTTAAATACTAAGCCGCACTTTACAGCTGTGTCTTCCCATTCTCAGAGAACTAATGTTTGAGTCTGGCGGTGACTGACCATGTCATCCGAAACCTTCTCCCGGAAATTTTTGATCCGGTTCGTTACAGTCTGACTCATTCGTCACCACTCCGTCACCTGCAAGAAAACTTGTCCCGGAATAACTCGAGTTGGTCACGAATGGGTTTGACTGTTGCAGTTCTTCTCACCTCTTGCCTTGATTGACAGGTCCTATGAACCTTGTTTTGATCCTACTCTCCGTTGAGTGGCTACTGACTTTGTAGGCGTGTCAAGTTATGTGCATAAATCAAACAATCACCTGATTCATATCACGCCACAGTATGTACTCATACATCTGGAATGTTTATCAATCTCGTCATTTTTGTCTGCTTTATTATTTACAACTGATGTTACGCGGATTCATACAGTTTGCAAATCGGTTTTTCGATTCATACCCCAATGAACCGAAATAAATACAGTAAATCCTTAACACACACACACACGCATGTATATATATAATTTTAAACAATGTCAGAACACGATCATTGTGTGAAACTTTTATTACTTAACAATGCTATATGTACACAACAATGATTTCCGGAATCAATTTACCCCCCCCCCCCCCCCTTGAAAATACCATCTAATTGCCATAGTTCAAGATCAGAAATAAGTTTGTTATAAAGTTTAATGTCAAATCCTGAATAATCGAAATAACGTTGGAGCTTGGGGACCAAAACGCTATTAAGGATAACTTTTTTCAAGATATGCGATAATTGGCACGTACAATAAATGAAAAGAAAATGATCATCTGGAGTGAGTGAGTGAGTGAGTGAGTGAGTGAGTGAGTGACACAACATTCAGCATATGCAATTGTATCACGGGATTCGCAGTTGATCGAATCCAGGCCAGACAAACCAGAGGGTGATATCATGAGCAACATCTCACACCACAATGACCTAGTCAGCTGACAGTTGGTCGATTAGGTACCGGTACTATTTTTGACTACTACCTACTACTATAGAAAAAATACAAGAAAATCTACAGTTTATCGATGTCTTTTGTTATAGTATTTTAAGTCCCATTTTATCACAAGGACGGGATACAGGTACACACACATACATGTACGCAACACTCTCTGAATCAAACGCAGTCCGTATGTGTGTTGTTAAGGGAACATGGCACCATGCTCTGTCCTACAGTGTAATCAATCTGTTTTTTTATACTGTAAAGATTAAAAAAATATTAAATGTTTTTACCTTCTTGGTCGAAGCATCACCATTTATCAACACATCCGTAATTTCTGATTCCATGATGTTGATGTGGCCGTATGCCTGCTACCATTACAACACTGAACGACTAGGCTGCTTAGTATAAAACAGACCGATATCAAGTTAAGGTGGACTTTGGCGTAGTTGTGATACGACATATCACATGAAACACTGATAGCCGTCAGCGTTGTTTCGAAAGACGTGACATATATCAATAAGATTTAACACGTGCACATCACATGGAACAGGGTTTTGGATAATATATAATTATTTTTATGCTTCAAAATGTGACCAATCAGGGAGCAGAACAACTGACCCCATATGAGCCCGAATATTGTCAGTAAAAATCCCAGATGGTTGTTACTGAACTAATATGAGACCGCATACCGTCAGTAACAGCCATCTTGGATTTTCCAACACCCACATCACATATTTCACATGGAAATTCTTGTACAGAAATTCTTTATTGGACATTGTTTTTTTATATCATTAAGTGTGACGTGCAAGGACATTAATCTTTAATGAAATCTCTTTCGTGACTTTATTAATAAAACTTATTGAGTAGTCGACGAAGGAGGGCAGTTGAACAGAAAGAGGGCTTCTGCAAATGATCATGCCCTAAAAAATAATGTTACCGTTATTAGAGCTAAAATGGGTAGAATTTGTAGCTAATCCACAAAAGAATATAGCTTAAAACAGCAGCTTTCGTTTAGTAGCAGTACAAAAAAAACTCCCAAAACGGAGGTCACTGATGTGCTAATATAAGATAGCTACGCAATAAATCGCAAAGAACAATGACGAACGAAGGATGGTTTATTTACGAAAAAACAGTTCTATCATGACGTCATTTCTGTAGATTCGAACATGCGCTCGCAGCTTGATGACGTCGTAAATTGGACGACGTATTTGAGTTGTGAGTTGTTCCCCATAGACGTAGCTGGGCAGCGCAGATAAACGCAATGGCCGAACGATCGCATCCTAAAAGGGGAAATATGTGACAATCGGTATTGGGAGAAAGGGTTCAGATAATCGACGTAAAAGTTGTTTTCCGCCCCTCGTGGTTTATTCTCCCGGCAGGGGGCACGGGTGGCCCAGTCGTCTAAGGCGCCGCGATTCGCTGTGCAGAGTTGCGTCCCGTGGACACGCCAGAAACCTATGATTGTGGGTTCGAATCCCGGTTCGCCCCGATTATGTTTCTGGGTTTGTCAGCACAATACCCGTGCTCGTGGGTTTCACCGAAGTGGTAAACGTCTAGGACCTGCATCACTTCGGGCTTTCCTCCCACATTAAGCTGACACGCCGTGATATAACTGGATTACTGTTAAAAGCGGCGTTAAACACAACTCACTCACTCACTATTCTCCCTGCAGTGTTTTATTATAAGAGTAACGCTATTTTTCAGGGCATTATCATTTGCAGAAGCCCGAGGTCTTCCGAGGGCTTCTGCAAATGATAATGCCCTGAAAAAGAGCGTTACCGTTATTATAGCTAAAATGGATGGAATTTGTTATCAAATAAAAAGAAACAACAATATCGGTTTTGAAACATTTACTGCAATCAACACGAATGTCACTGACCCACTTTTACAAATATGGAAACGTCATAGAACAAACCATATGACGTCACTATAATACGTGACGTCACTTTCTTTACCCCATGACGTCACCTAACAACGGGCTTGATAATTGCCCGTCAAGCAATATGAGGGCATTATCAAGTTACAGAGGCCCGCTCATTTCTGATAACGTGCGGGCGGTTTAATGATCCATTTTAGCTATAATGTATGATAAATAACTCCCACTCGTCGTATATTTCTTAATAACAACGTTATAGAACATACTGCAAGATGACGTTACAATAAAGAAACATCACGCCAATGACGTCACATAACAATGGAATATATAGCAGCTCGTCGTTAGGCAAAAGAGGACTGCTATCACGATTGTTTCATTTATTGTTTTTAGGTTAACGCCGCACTCAGCAATATTCCAGCTATATGATGGCGGTATGTAAATAATCGAGTCAGGACCAGACAATCCAGTGATTGACATAATGAGCTTGGATGCACTCAATTGGGATACGATGACATGCATCAACCAAGTCAGCGAGCCTGACCACCCGATCCCGTTAGTCGCCTCTTACGACAAGCATAGTCGCCTTACAAATTTCTGATAACATGCGGGCATTTTACTGATATTTCTATCCATTTTAGCTGTAATACTTTGTTTAAACGTTCACATTTAGTGCATTATATATACCATTGTTAACGTTTGTGTTTGCATATGCATTACGGCGTTGTATCGGAAACATATGTACTGGTCACGCCATTTATACCTATTGTAAGGGTCAAGTTTACATTTTGACATGTGCGATAAAGATACCAGACAGTGTAAACTTTTCGGCATAATAAATTTGTTGGTGTCTTTAGTTGCCGTATACGGTGTCACATTTAGGTTAACGGAAATCTATTATGTATGTGTATGTATGTTTGTTGTTTTACGCCGCACTCAGCAATATTCCAGCTATGTGATGGCGGTATGTAAATAATCGAGTCAGGACCAGACAATCCAGTGATTGACATAATGAGCTTGGATGCACGCAATTAGGATCGATTACATGTATCATCCAAGTCAGCGAGCCTGACCACCCGATCCCGTTAGTCGCCTCTTAAGGCAAGCATAGGTTGCTGAAGACCTATTCTACCCCGGATCTTCACGGGTCCGGAAAACTATTAGATCCGGCTGACGCCTCGACCAATATTTTCTGCTAAACAAATACGGCAACTAAAGACACCATAACTAATATTATTATGCAAATCTCTAGTATAATTTAAGGGTGTATTTCAGAGACGCACTCTCTGCTTCCACATGCTTCATTTTGGGAACATCTGTGCATTAATTAAAGCTTTCTTAAGTGAGAGTGAAGTTAGGTCTAACGCCGTTTGGAACACTAATTCAGTTATGCCTAGTAGATTCTGTGAAGGAGAAATCATGACAATCTGTTGATTCTACTTTCGACATGTGTAATGTCTCTATAATTATACATAATGGCCTTAAGTTGCGTCCAATCTCTTTAAAATCAGATCTTAGTTCTCACTATCGCTAAACAAAGATCTGAGGACATCCCATGACGGGTCACGTCAGAACGACCTTTCATCCAACCAATCAGAGCGTCGCTTACCAGATCATGAAAGTGACAGACGGAATGTGTTTTCTGATCATGCAACCTCGAAATATTTAACAGAGAGTATTCCGAACGACAGTTACTGGCTCTATGATTTTATCCATACAATCTAGGCCATCTGTAAGCCATTACAGAATGTTCTTTTTATCAGTTTTAATGATTTTAACTGAGAATACGTCAAAATATGTTTCGAAGCGTAGTCGCCAGTTTGAAACTAGCGTCGTAAAGCTCGAGAAAGGTGCCTTCTGATTGGCTAATGTCGATTTCTTTTAAGTCATTTCATTGATCGGTCAAAGTTCGCGAGAGGTCGTTCTGGCGTGACCCGTAATGGGATGTCCTCAGATCTTTGTTTAGCGGTAGCGAAAACTAAGATCTGATTTCAATGAGATTGAAGGTGCGTGCGTTTTACTTGAATACGAATATGAATACGAATTACATTTGTCATGCGCTAAGCCGCTTAACTCCATACACTAGGTAAATGCTCATATCGCTACACAAAACAGGGAAGCTCTGCTGATACAAGATCATGAATACAAGACAAATAGATGTGGCAGTTTGTGTTGATTTTAAATTTGATAAAAGAGTCTGAACAAGAATGTCTTAAGAAGGGACTGGAAGATAGTCAGAGTTTCTGCTTCCTTCACATGTGACGGGAGATGGTTCCACTGACCTGCAGTATTGTAGACACATGACCTCTGCCTAAACTTTGTCGGTTTTGTCTGTACAAAGGAGGTGTTTCTCGGCATAACGGAGGTGTCTAGGTTGTTGATATATCTGGATAAGGTCAGAAAAGTAAGAGTGAGTGAGTGAGTGAGTTTGGTTTTACGCCGCTTTTAGCAATATTCCAGCAATATCACGGCGGGGGACACCAGAAATGGGCTTCACACATTGTACCCATGTCGGGAATCGAACCCGGGTCTTCGGCGTGACGAGCGAACGCTTTAACCACTAGGCTACCCGACCGCCCCCCAGAAAAGTAAGAAGGTACCGATTGGTTGCAGCAGTGATACGTTAAGGTCAGGATATTGTACACTCTCCAGAGTTCCATGAGGCCGGCAGCCAGCTAGCATAGTACCTCTGCCACATGCAAGCGCCATGTGACGATTCGTCACATCTTTCGCAGTCCATTCAAGATATTGCATATGCTTTTCATCCGTTTCATGTTTGACGAGTCTACACATTTTCATAAACAAATGTCAAAGAATGGTTAACTTTCATTTAGAAAGTATGCAAATACGTAAAAATCTACTTGTTTTTGCGTAGTTATCCTATGTTTACATTGGTTGTACGGCTCCACGTGCTGTCATCGAAGCCCAACGGAGAGCTAGCGACACGGTCACTTTGATGCATAAATATATATTGTCATGCAACTCACTGTCGCAGTTGTAGTAGCATATCTATTTAGTTATGCAAAACAATATGTAAAGCGCCCCCAAATACTTGCATTAGTCCGTTCTATACTGATTTCTGAAAAAGCGCGTTTGTTTACAAACAAGAGAAACGTCCGGTCACGTGATATGCAAATTAGCCTGTGGCAGTGGTGTTATGCTGAGTCACCACTGTGACGGAGTGTGGATATTGTACTGAACTCGACCTGTTACTTGGAGCCAGTACAGATCGATAAGCACACGTATTACGTGCGCTGACACAAGTATTACGTGTGTTTTGGTTCTTGCCAAAATCCTTGCTGCCGTGTTTTTAACACGATGTAATCTGGTTAACTGCTCCTCAGAGATGTTACAGTGTAGACTATTGCAGTAGTCGAGTCGAAGAGCATAAGGTTTCCATCTTCTCGAGGCAAGAGAATTTACTGACTATAAAAGTTCAGTTTCCATCCTTGCCGAACTAGGCTGGTATTATGGAGTTACAGTTTGGCTGGACTAACGAGTCTATGCATAGTCCAAACAAAATCGCGCACCGAAATTGAAATCCGGTTCGTTAACTGTCGTGCAGATTTCGGTCGATTGCAGGATTTGCAAGCATGTGCACCGCCAACTCGTTGTCAACAGATATTCTCCAAATTGTTTCGTGTCTTTAATCAAGGTGCTTACGTGTTTTGATGCTTTTCGCGATGTAAGACCAGTTTTATCACAATATAGATCTTGATTATCGATCAGATCGCCTTGACTGGGCGTCGCTGTCTTGCAACATCACGTTAACTCGATCCTGCTTCAAGCATACCAATGGCTCACAGACGCTCATTTTCGGACAGGCGTGGCATTTCGTAATGTTGAATATTTGCGTAATTTTGTTGTTTTTCTGAGTGGTTGTTGTCAGCACGATGCACAACAATGCATATGGAATCCCGTTAACGCACATGTTTTTATACCCATTCTTGGGTAGTGAAATGCATGGGGCTTGCATAAAAGTCAACTTTTGCATGGAATGCAAGCTTTTCTGTAGCAGTTGCGTTTTTGTGACTTGATTCCATACATGTACTACAATATTGAAAAACAAACTTTATTTGTTTGAAAAATACACTAAAATGTTGGTGTCACAGGAACTTTTGTTTTTGAGTATATATCCAAATAAAGCCTTGCTCCAGAAACTCGATTTATAATCGAAGAGGGCCATGAGTATAACTCTTTTTTCTTGAAGTTACAGATTTTGTATTAAGTTGAACTAGTTCTTCTCTCTGACTCGCTTCTACCATTGCGCTAAATGTATCATACGTTTTATTTTAGCCAGAACCCAGTTTACAGATTTTATGTAAGGGACATAACTCTCATCTTCGTATCATGATCCGTGCAGATTTCTCTCCGGACAAGATATGTTTATGTAGAACAGTATCGTAATAGTATTGCTCCTGGATGGTGCTTGAGAGAACGCATCTTTTTAAATGGTAAGCAATTCCTTTGACCGACTGTGGCTTGAGGAGAATGTGTCTGAGGAGACCAGCGGGGTACCTGCAGCCGATCGCAGCTGCTGAATGTTTCGAAGGCTAGCCTGATCGTATTCGTAAACCTGCCCTACTCCTTGGTTATTTCAGGGACGTTTAATATAGATCGTGTCCCTGTTAGTGCTTGTTTGTTTGTTGTTTACGCCACACTCAGCAATATTCCAGTTAAATGAAGGCGGTCTGTAAATAATCGAGTTTGGAGCAGACATAGCCGAGAGTCGCGATGGGGTTCTACAGCCAAGACATGTCATGACGGTAGGGCCCCATCGCGGCACTCGGCAAGGCAAGCATGGGTTGCTGAAAACCTCCAAATGTTTTATATGTAAGCATTGCCGCTCAATCGTTTTAATCATATTTATTTTTGAGGGGGGATGCGGGCGGAAGTCTTACGATCATTTCTACCCCGGATGTTCACGTGTGGAACTGATTAAGGCCAGTAGGAGCTTTACGTTAAAGTCTGCTTGTAATGGGTCTAGTATTGAACGTTATCGAGATGACAGCTGCACTGATCTTAATGTGCATTTAAAAATCATTCATCCCTGTTTTGCAATATCTAATATGATTTTAATGATGTCGAATTCATGATCTTGAATTAAAATCAGTGTCAAGACCCCAAAAAGTTACATTGGTCAATGTCTGGTGTTTATTTACATGCAGCCGTCATATAGCAAGAATATTGCAGTGTTAAACAGCAAACAAACGGGTGCAGGCTAAAACGGCACCCCAGCAAAACGTCACCGATTTCTCTGGCGGAAACGGCACCGCATTTGGCGAAAACAGCTACTATGTGTCGGGCGAAAACGGCACCTCTATTTTTAATGAGGATAAGAACAATTTTTGTAGTAATATATATATATGGTTTATTTACATGGTCACAGTTATCACAGCATGTTGTTGTTTTCTGACATTCTTCTCTCATGCAACACATCGAAATGCCATTGTGAATAATTGTGATCTGACAGCACCATGTTAGGCCTCTTAAATACAGTTTCAGTTTAAATTGAGTAAAGGTACTTAAAACTTCAAAGCTTATAGTGTTTTCACATTAAGTTAACTGCGCCCCCCAACCAGTCGGCGAGTAAATTGGAGTAGGGGTCTAATTTCTTACTTGTTTTATTTCACAATTTCACAATTATTTGTGTTTGTAAGAGACGACGTGAGTTTAATTTCTATTATTTTTCTTCAAAGCATGTCACATTTTCACAATAAGTTGTGTTGCGTATAAGCTAAGTTGGATTATAGTTGGAGTAGAGGCTAATTTCTAATGTAAACTTGTTTTAGCATCTCACAATTATTGGTGTTTGAAAGTTACCATATAAGTTTAATAGCACTTATTTGACCAAGGTATAAAAATAAGGTGCCGTTTTCGCCAGGCAATAGTAGCCGTTTTCGCCAATCGGTGCCGTTTTCGCCCGGTGACGTTTTGCTGAGGTGCCGTTTTCGCTATAACCCCAAACAAACAAGCATGCATGATGTGAGCGTGGAGTTCTCTTTCATTATATAATATGCATGTAAGTTTGGGGAACTCGAGTTTTTGCTACGATTTAAGAGTGGTTAGTCTAGCATAGTATGAGTACCTAGATCTATGTAGTTCAATATTTCATGATCTTGAATCATTCAGTGACCAAACCCAGAGTGTAGTAAAGGTTTCCTTGGCCAGGGGATTAAGATGGAATATGGGATCAAATTGAAAAATAAATATTTATTGTTTCATGCCACAGTTGGCAACATTCTAATAATATCGAGTCCAGGCCAACCAGGGATTGATAGCTTGATAAACACCTTGGGGTCACAGAGCCTTAGTACCCAATCATCATTTTCTTAAGCCCAAATAAGTAAGCCAATTAACATATTCCAAATTTGCTGCAGTCAACACTCAACCCTAACACATAACAATGGAATATATAGCAGCTCGTCGTTAGGCAAAAGAGGACTGCTATCACGACTCTTTCATTGATTGTTTTTTGGTTAACGCCGCACTCAGCATTATTCCAGCTATATGATGGCGGTATGTAAATAATGGAGTCAGGACCAGACAATCCAGTGATTGACATAATGAGCTTTGATCCACGCAATTGGGGTCGATTACATATATCAACCAAATCAGCGAGCCTGACCACCCGATCCCGTTAGTCGCCTCTTACAAGCATAGTCGCCTTACGGATTTCTGATAACATGCAGCATTTTACTGATATTTCTATCCATTTTAGCTATAATACTTTGTTTAAACTTTCACATTTAGTGCATTATATATACCATTGTTAACGTTTATGTGTGCATATGCATTAAGGCGTTGTATCGGAAACATATGTACTGGTCACGCCATTTATACCTATTGTAAGTGTCAAGTTTTCATTTTGACATGTGCGATAAAGATACCAGATAGTGTAAACTTTTCGGCATAATAAATTTGTTGGTGTCTTTAGTTGCCGTATACGCTGTCACATTTAGGTTAACGGAAAACCATTATGTATGTGTATGTATGTTTTTTGGTTAACGCCGCACTCAGCAATATTCCAGCTATATGATGGCGGTATGTAAATAATGGAGTCAGGACCAGACAATCCAGTGATTGACATAATGAGCTTGGATGCACGCAATTAGGATCGATTACATGTATCATCCAATACAGCGAGCCTGACCACCCGATCCCGTTAGTCGCCTTTTACGGCAAGCATGAGTTGCTGAAGACCTTTTCTACCCCGGATCTTCACGGGTCCGGAAAACTATTAGATCCGGCTGACGCCTCGGCCAATATTTTCTGCTAAACTAATACGGCAACTAAAGACACCATAACTAATATTATTATGCAAATCCCTAGTATAATTTAAGGGTGTATTTCAGAGACGCACTCTCTGCCTCCACATGCTTCATTTTGGGAACATCTGTGCATTAATTAAAGCTTTCTTAAGTGAGAGTGAAGTTAGGTCTAACGCCGTTTGGAACACTAATTCAGTTATGCCTAGTAGATTCTGTGAAGGAGAAATCATGACAATCTGTTGATTCTACTTTCGACATGTGTAATGTCTCTATAATTATACATAATGGCCTTAAGTTGCGTCCAATCTCTTTAAAATCAGATCTTAGTTCTCGCTATCGCTAAACAAAGATCTGAGGACATCCCAAGACGGGTCACGTCAGAACGACCTTTCATCCAACCAATCAGAGCGTCGCTTACCAGATCATGAAAGTGACAGACGGAATGTGTTTTCTGATCATGCAACCTCGAAATATTTAACAGAGAGTATTCCGAACGACAGTTACTGGCTCTATGATTTTATCCATACAATCTAGGCCATCTGTAAGCCATTACAGAATGTTCTTTTTATCAGTTTTAATGATTTTAACTGAGAATACGTCAAAATATGTTTCGAAGCGTAGTCGCCAGTTTGAAACTAGCGTCGTAAAGCTCGAGAAAGGTGCCTTCTGATTGGCTAATGTCGATTTCTTTTAAGTCATTTCATTGATCGGTCAAAGTTCGCGAGAGGTCGTTCTGGCGTGACCCGTAATGGGATGTCCTCAGATCTTTGTTTAGCGGTAGCGAAAACTAAGATCTGATTTCAATGAGATTGAAGGTGCGTGCGTTTTACTTGAATACGAATACGAATACGAATTACATTTGTCATGCGCTAAGCCGCTTAACTCAATACACTAGGTAAATCCTCACATCGCTACATAAAACAGGGAAGCTCTGCTGATACAAGATCATGAATACAAGACAAATAGATGTGGCAGTTTGTGTTGATTTTAAATTTGATAAAAGAGTCTGAACAAGAATGTCTTAAGAAGGACTGGAAGATAGTCACATGTGACGGGAGATGGTTCCAGTGACCTGCAGTATTGTAGACACATGACCTCTGCCCAAACTTTGTCGGTTTTGTCTGTACAAAGGAGGTGTTTCTCGGCATAACGGAGGTGTCTAGGTTGTTGATATACCTGGATAAGGTCAGAAAAGTAAGAAGGTACCGATTGGTTGCAGCAGTGATACGTTAAGGTCAGGATATTGTACTGAACTCGACCTGTTACTTGGAGCCAGTACAGATCGATAAGCACACGTATTACGTGCGCTGACACAAGTATTACGTGTGTTTTGGTTCTTGCCAAAATCCTTGCTGCCGTGTTTTTAACACGATGTAATCTGGTTTACTGCTCCTTAGAGATGTTACAGTGTAGACTATTGCAGTAGTCGAGTCGAAGAGCATAAGGTTTCCATCTTCTCGAGGCAAGGGCGTTAACTGACTATAAAAGTCCAGTTTCCATCCTTGCCGAACTAGGCTGGTATTATGGAGTTACAGTTTGGCTGGACTAACGGGTCTATGCATAGTCCAAACAAAATCGCGCACCGAAATTGAAATCCGGTTCGTTAACTGTCGTGCAGATTTCGGTCGATTGCAGGATTTGCAAGCATGAGCACCGCCAACTCGTTGTCAACAGATATTCTCCAAATTGTTTCGTGTTTTTAATCAAGGTGCTTACGTGTTTTGATGCTTTTCGCGATGTAAGACCAGTTTTATCACAATATAGATCTTGATTATCGATCAGATCGCCTTGACTGGGCGTCGCTGTTTTGTTTGCAGCAATTGCAAGTGATACGAGAGGTGGAATCTCATTGATACATAGGCGAGGCTTAGAAGGGTCATAACTCGTAATAACCACTGGTGACGCTACAATCGAGCCCAGGAATTCCAGCCAAGTTCGGCAAGGGTGGAAACTGGACTTCAAAGTCAGTTAACTCTCTCTCCCTCTCTAACCGGTCTCAGCGATCGCCAGTCGGTCGCAAAGGAAATCAGTCGCCCAGAGGTTGCATCGGGGTCGCAATGTCTGTGTGACTGCAGATTAAAGGGGAAGTGTACACGCAAAAATCACTTTCTTTCTTTTTCTAAACAAAACGCAATTTTAGAATTAATTAGTATCTGTGTTTGAAAATATACACTCATTTTTTTCACAGTGAACGTAGGAAGCTCACAATAGTGTGAAAATGATATGCCGTTATGGGGCCTTCGTTTTTCGCGCTAAACAGGCCTGAGTTATCCCCCTTAGATTATGACGTAATTGATGCCAATTCAACTGGGTCCCTGTCTATTCTCAACGCAAAAGATATCAAGTACCAGTTTGCGGTAAAACAACATGGCCTACGACACACTCCGGCGCAGTGGTGACTCAGCATAACACTATGCTGGCTGGCATCTGAGACGCTAGAATCACACACCTGGACCTACACCACGTGAAGCGGCTCTAACAAAGCATGATGACGTCATAATGTTTATCAATTGGCACCAATGACGTCATATTGCAAGGGGCATAAGCCATGGTGTTTTTGTTGTGGAAATAGAACACTTGGTAAATGTGAAAAATATAAATCGTTTTAATGCGAAAAATATGTTAATTAATTGTGATATTTTTATATTTTTGTCTATGACACTTCTATGTTAACACTTTTAATGTGGAAAAAGTACAAGAAAAATAGGTTCATTTCCGTGTGAACTTGCCCTTTAACCAAGCAATGTTTGTTTCCCTAATAGTTGTCCCTTGTTGTCAATCTATTGGATATTGTTTAAAAGCAATTCTCACATCTTACTTATATAGGCACAATTTGGCATAACTTGATTGATAAATTACAACAAGACGTCGAGAGAGCTATAACCTTGAGCGTTAATGATCTATACTGAACAACAAATGTTCCTATCGCAAAAAACGATAGAACAACAGGGCCGATGATCTCGTCGCGGTAGCGCTGTCCATTGAGATTTCCCTCTACCGCTATCAAACGGGTCCTCTGTATTGCTGTAATCCCACCCCATACCATAACGCTGCCGCCCCCGAACCGATCTTCTTCCATGACACAATGATAGACGTAACGTTCACCTCATCTTCCCGAGGCAAGAGAGTTAACTGACTACAAAAGTCCAGTTTCCACCCTTGCCGAACTAGGCTGGAATTCCTGGGCTCGATCGTAGCGCCACCAGTGGCTATTACGAGTTATGTAAATTCTATGCCTCTCCCATATGGACCAATCAGATTCCAACTCTCGTATAACATGTATTTGCTTCAAACAAAATGGTGGCGCCCAGTCAAGACGATCTGATCGACCATCAAGATCTATTTTGTGTAGATACATCAAATCACGTGAGCACCTTGATTAACAACATGAAAAGACTTGGAAAATATCTGTTGACAACGAGTTAGCGGTGCACATGTTTTGCAAATCCTGCAATCGACAGAAATCTGCACGACATTTTACAAACCGGATTTCGATTTCGGTGCACAATTTTGATTGGACTATGCATAGACTCGTTAGCCCAGCCAAAATGTTACTCCATAATCCCAGCCTAGTTCGGCAAGGGTGGAAACTGGTCTTTTATAGTCAGTTAACTCACTTGCCTCGAGAAGATGTAGACGTGCTTGACGGTGGTTTCCTGTCAAAATGGGACGTCTGGTGGGTCTTCTGGCGACAATCCCTGCACATCTGAGGCGACGACGTACGGTTTGTGAAGATATTCGTCGAAGGCCAGTGATGCTTCTTGCAGTCACTGTTGCTGGCTGGAATCGATTTCGTAGGTTTGTTGTTCGAATCCAGTTGTCTTGTCGATTATTGGTTACGCGTGGCCTGCCACTCCGAGGATGGTCTCTGACTGCATTCGTCTGTTGCCAACGTTGCCATAAACACCAAATGGTGTTTCTGTGGACGTGAAATTGTCTTTCAACATCACGTTAACTCGATCCTGCTTCAAGCATACCAATGGCTCACAGACGCTCATTTTCGGAAAGCGTGGCATTTCGTAATGTTGAATAATTGCGTAATTTTGTTGTTTTTCTGAGTGGTTGTTGTCAGCACGATGCTAAACAATGCATATGGAATCCCGTTAACGCACATGTTTTTATACCCATTCTTGGGTAGTGAAATGCATGGGGCTTGCATAAAAGTCAACTTTTGCATGGAATGCATGCTTTTCTGTAGCAGTTGCGTTTTTGTGACTAGATTCCATACATGTACTACAATATTGAAAACCAAACTTTACTTGTTTGAAAAATACACTAAAATTTTGGTATCACGGGAACTTTTGTTGTTGAGTATATATCCAAATAAAGCGTTGCTCCAGAAACTCGATTTATAATCGAAGAGGGCCATGAGTATAACTCTTTTTTTTGAAGTTACAGATTTTGTATTAAGTTGAACTAGTTTTTCTCTCTGACCCGCTTCTACCATTGCGCTAAATGTATCATACGTTTAATTTTAGCCGGAACCCAGTTTACAGTTTTTATGTAAGGGACATAACTCTCATCTTCGTATCATGATCTGTGCAGATTTCTCTCCGGACAAGATATGTTTATGTAGAAGTATTGCTCCTGGATGGTGCTTGAGAGAACGCATCTTTTTAAATGGTAAGCAGTTCCTTTGACCGACTGTTGCTTGAGGAGAATGTGTCTGAGAAGACCAGCGGGGTACCTTCAGCCGATCGCAGCTGCTGACTGTTTCGAAGGCTAGCCTGATCGTATTCGTAAACCTGCCCTACTCCTTGGTTATTTCATGGACGTTAAATATAGATCGTGTCCCTGTCAGTGCTTGTTTGTTTGTTGTTTACGCCATACTCAGCAATATTCAAGTTAAATGACGGCGGTCTGTAAATAATCGAGTTTGGAGCAGATATAGCCGAGAGACGCGATGGGGTTCTAGTCAAGATATGTCATGACGGTAGGGCCCAATTGTGGCACTCGGCAAGGCAAGCATGGGTTGGTGAAAACCTCCAAATGTTTTATATGTATGCATTGCCGTTCAATCGTTTTAATCATATTTATTTTTGAGGGGGGATACGGGCGGAAGTCTTACGATCATTTCTACCCCGGACCTTCACGTGTGGAACTGGTTAAGGCCAGTAAGAGCTTTACGTTAAAGTCTGCTTGTAATGGGTCCATCTAGTATTGAACGTTATCGAGATGACAGCTGCACTGATCTTAATGTGCATTTAGGAATCATTCATCCCTGTTTTGCAATATCCAATATGATTTTCATGATGTCGAATTCATGATCTTGAATTAAAATCAGTGTCAAGACCAAAAACAAATACACTGGTCAATGTCTAGTGTTTATTTACATGCAGCCGTCATATAGCAAGAATATTGCAGTTTTAAACAGCAAACAAACAAGCACGCATGATGTGAGCGTGGAGTTCTCTTTCATTATATAATATGCATGTAAGTTTGGGGAGCTCAAGTTTTTGCTACTCAGTCATTTGAGAGTGGTTAGTCTAGCGTACTATGAGTACCTAGATCTATGTAGTTCAATATTTCATGATCTTGAATCATTCAGTGACCAAACTCAGAGTGTAGTAAAGGTTTCCTAGGCCAGGGGATTAAGATGGAATATGGGATCAAATTGAAAAATAAATGTTTATTGTTTCATGCCACAGTTGGCAACATTCTAATAATATCGAGTCCAGGCCAACCGGGGATTGATAGCTTGATAAACACCTTGGGGTCACAGAGCCTTAGTACCCAATCATCATTTTCTTAAGCCAAAAATAAGTAAGTCAATTAACATATTCCCATTTAGCTGCAGTCAACACTCAACCCTAAAATATGAATTTCTTCCAGAAAATTAGATATTTAGTTAGATCAACACCTTAAAAGTTGTCCACTTGGTGGTGTGACTATGAATACATCAGGCTTACATTCTGAAAAGTGTTTTTCCAGTCAACAACAGATAAGTAAATCTCCTTTTTGTAAGGGGTACTTGTTATCATGGTTACTGAATACTGATATTTTAAGATTCTAATTTCTACTGAATCTTAGAACATGACAGCAAAGCAGTGTTGTGCATATAGGCCATGGATCACATCTTCCGGTACTGTATGTTTAATATGGGCTAGAAAACGTCCATATGCCAACATACAAAGGCAGCCTTCTCGAAAACTGCTCTCCGTGGTCTGCCCGGAGAGCAAAAGGTCCGGGGTTAGATCCTCAGCCGCGTCATACCAAAAGACGTTAAAAGATGGTACTTGTATACTGTGTCTGAGTGGGGTATTCATGTTAAGCTGCAGCATGGTATCTCAATGGGCTAGCACTATTAGACCTGCATTAGACCAGACTGGTGCAAACGCACGCACGCATGCATGCACGCACAATCTTGAACGCGATGTTAAACCCCATTCCACCTCGAAACCTGCTCGAATACTTCCTGAAGTTGTTGTACAATCCTTGCTTATAAGTAATGATCAGTATATAACATGAGAAGTTATGAGAATATATAAATAAGTCCATGCTGAATATCTTTTCAGGGATTTATGCCCATGGCATGCAGATTTGGAGGGGGAAGGGGAATCACTATTTCGTTCATATTACCTTAAGTTCAGATGTATTCAACATTGCATTCAATGCAGTTATGTCAAACAAAGCATTAACGCCTCTTCCTGTCTAATGTCGTTGTCAGTGGAATACACGACACATCTTTCTAAACATTCATTGCCTTAGTTCTAACTCTAATATGTATTGGGAAGTGTTTAATTCTATTAATCACTTAAAGAATGCCACTGGCAAGCAGGATGTGTCTTTTGTCTTTGTACCAAAGGGAAGGAATTGGTAAATATGAAGTAAAATAAAAACCCATCTTTCATATCTGTGGAAACATTCAATTGATTATTTAAATCTTCATACACACAATCTGCTTCTGTAGTTTTCCCATCTGCACATTATTAAGATAAGTAAACTAATAATTTAACTATAAACAGTTTCAAACAAAATAACATTATGGATTGTGACTTCATTATTCTTTCTGTATGACGTTTCGATAAAGATGCAATTACCTTGACCAAACTCATACCTCCATGATTTGCTTTAGGCCAGGCTTTTTTTATTTTTTAGGATTACGGATTTTTCAGCCCTAAGTCTAGGGTTGGAGGAGGTTGAAAAAAGCAAGAAAAAAAGCCAGATGCATTTTTTTAAATGCAGAATGACTCTGGCATACTTTATGAACATATTCTGTGCTCAAAAGACCGCCATTTGTGAGGATAAAGCCTCTTGTAACAATATAAATTCTACCACTTACAACACGAACAATTATCAAGGGAGGCTATTCATGTTCGGCTTCGAGATCAACAAATATCGATTATGTATCTCATTACTAGTTTACAATGGTACATTCATATGTTTTTTATCGAAAGTTGATGTTAACAAATAAAATAACTGACTACGCATCTATCGGCGAGGAAAAAAAATTGGAAATCTGATTATTATTTTTACATTTTCTCAAAAATTAGAGTCGATGGGTCCTTAATCTGAAAAATATAAAATGCCTGGCCTTATTGAGGTACTAGAATCTGTACTGATATGTCACTCGGTCTTCACTGAACACATTATTATTGTGTGTTTGTTTGGTTTTTAACGCTGCACTCAGCAATATTCCAGCTATGTGACCGCGGTCAGTAAATAATCGAGTCAGACAATCCAGTGATTGACATCATAAGCATCGGTCCAAGCAATTGGGATACAATTGCATGCATTGTCGCCTCTTAAGACAGTTATCTTCGCCTTTTACAGCAAGCACAGGTTGCTTAAGACCTAATCTAAATCAGATCTAGGGTTTTAATGAGTGAGTGAATGTTTGTTTGTTTGTTTATTTGTTGTTTAACACCGCACTATATTCAGATATTCCATCTATATGAAGGCTGTCTGTAAAAGACAATCCAGGCATTGACATCTTGAGCATCGATCCATGCAATTGGGAAACAATGGCATGCATCAACTAAGTCAGCAAGCCTGACCACCCGATCCTGTTAGTCGCCTCTTACAACAAGCATTGTTGCCTTTTACAGCAAGCATGGGTTGCTGAAGACCTATTCTACCCCGGGCCTTCACATGTTCCTTATAATTGAACTATACACTTGATAAACAATTTCAGATCAGAACATTATTATGGCATCAAAGTTCTTCGTATCATATTTATGCATATGAAATAATTAATAAAGGGTTTAATAAAGTCCTTTTTAAGTCATCGTCATATTTTCTACTTCTTCTTCGAAATAGCGTGATGGATGTAGCTGAAACTTTGTGTTTCTGTTTGTTGTTTAACGCCACACTCAGCAATATTCCATCTATATGACAGCAGTCTGTAAATAATCAAGTCTGGGCCAGACAATCCAGTGATTTATTTGATGAACATCGATCTACGCAATTCGGATACGATGACATCAGTGAGCCTGACCAACTGATCCCATAAGACGCCTCTTACGACGAGGATTGTGGATATTTGTTACCATGGTTACTAGGGGTTCAAGTTTGTTCAAGGCATCAGATAACTAGGATATTGTTGGATATGATGTTAAACAACAAACAAACAAAACAAATTTACCTTTATCATATTTATTTTACAGAAAGCTCAAACCTATTAAATATATTTCTGATGTACATTCATGTGTTTTTTTGTAGGCATCTACAAGTGACTGAGTAATTATACTCCAAGCAATAAGAAGCAAGATGTTTTGCCAGAGGGCACTAGCTAAGATCTCCAGAAGCCTGACAAGATGCACAACAAGACCTGTCCTAGGCTCGCTGCAGGGCGTGCTGCGGTCACTGTGGCAGGTGTCCCGAGCCAGCTCCACACAGGGCACGCTGCACGAGCTGAAGACTCGGGGGTTGGTGGAGCTGAGTGGTCGAGACACTGTGGACTTCTTGCAGGGTCTTGTCACCAGCGATGTTGCCGCCTTGGAGGGAGATGTAGCCGCTCAGTACTCCATGATGCTTAATGTGCAGGTACACCACATTCACTACCTCTTCACTTTGGGCAAACCATTTCTAATCAACATCGACCAACAACAACAATGTCCCTGAAAAGATTAACTGTATGATTTTCAGATGTTTTCAATATCCATAAGTAAGGATTCAGTATGTGTTCAATATCCATAAGTATTGATTTAATATGTGTTCAATATTCATAAGTATTGATTCAGCATGTGTTCAATATCCATATGTAAGGATTCAATATGTGTTCAATATTCATAAGTATTGATTCAGCATGTGTTCAATATCCATAAGTAAGGATTCAATATGTGTTCAATATTCATAAGTAAGGATTCAATATGTGTTCAATATCCATAAGCATGATAAGCATGATAAGTAAGGATTCCATATGTGTTCAATATCCATAAGTAAGGATTCAATATGTGTTCAATACTCATTTATTTCTTGTATGCATTGAGCATGGTGGACACACCACTTTGTGTTTGTCATTACTCGTATGGTATAAATTGAGGTAAATTAGAAAAGGGTCCAAAGTATATTTGACATTGAGACAAATTCCTAAGTTTCCATGAGATAACGTTTGTAAGACTGGTGCCCTGATGTCCAGGGTCGAGTGCTGTATGATCTGCTGCTGTATCGACACCCGGACAGTGCTGTGTGTGGTCAGTCTGACCAGCCCCGCCTCCTGCTGGAGTGTGACCGCACAATGCTGGACGAGATGCTCAAGGTCATCCGAAAATACAAGATCAGAAAGAAGGTGAGGCACTAGCATGTTGAGGAGTCCAACACAGTTGTAGTGACCTGACTTACAGAGTTGGTCATGTTTGTTTGTTTGTTTAACGCTGCAAACGGCAGTCTGTTAATAATCGAGTCTGGACCAGACAATCCAGTGATTGACATCATGACCATCGATTCATGCAATTGGGATACGACGATATGCATCAACCAAGTCAGCGAGTCTGACCAACCGTTCCTGTTAGTCACCTCTTACGACAATTAGTCGCCTTTTGCGGCAAGCATGGGTTGCTGAGGACCTATTCTACCCTGGATCTTCACGGTGGAGTTGGTTATGATTTGACTTGAGAGTTGTTTGTTTCTCATTGAAAATATGTTTTCCCTTGTTTAATTGAACCTATCAGTGACAATGCATAAGAGACCAGACAAATTTGTTTCTAGATGTACTGACGTGTCTATCCAAAAAGTTAAACAAATAGCTGACGACGTGTTGTCTTTTATTGTAATTCAATGAATACCCTGTGTTGACTTTTTCGAGGTGTATGATTAGAAAACACATTCCTACTGTCACTATCCCAATCTGGTAAGCGATGCTGTTGTTGGTCAGATAAAAGCTCGTTCCAACATGACCCATTATGGGATGTCCGCAGATCTTTGTTTAGCACTAAGCGAGCACTAAAGTCTGATTTTAATGAGATTGGTTGAAATAATTAGGGATGTCACAATGCAGGTACTGAAAATTAATGCATCCCCAAATTAATACGACTGCTAACCCCTGGCCCAAAATGTGACTCAATATCAATGGGACTCCCCCCACCCATCCCCAGTGGAATGATGCATATCCTTACCTTAATTCAATCAAACAGCAAATAGCACCGCTTATTAGCACTGAGTAGAGCACTTCCGTAAAAACAATAAACAGTGTTTTCCTAAAAATAACACACAGTTTATATGTTTACCCTGTTGACTGGCATTAACATGATTAAGGTTCAAAGGCAATACAAAACTGAACCAACAACAGTTCACTGATTGGTATGCGGATAATGTGTCAACAAGTTTGACATGAGTGGGTAGAACTCTTGACACCAGCAGTGATAACTCACCGGATGCCCATTGTGTAATTCCTATTCTTTGAATGACATTGTTATATACTTGTTACAACTACTACTCAATAAATCATGTTTGTTTTATTTTCAAGTTGGTATTTCCGCTATCCAAAGTGTGCAGTGAGGCCATCTTATTGTTGATAGTCATTTTGGAGACATGAATGCGAAGTTAATAAATGCGAGCAAAGACCACTCGCATTTTTCGCATTTAATTCACGCTCGCATTATTTTCAAGTTTTACTGTATCACATGATACGATACATATCTTGATACAGAAGCCATGATAGCATATGTATCTACATACTACATATAAGACATTTTGTTTGGACATCCTAGTCATTGGACTGAGAATAGAGTCCAAAGACTCACTCATAAAGTAAAGAGTGAGTGAGTTGGGTGTGACGCCGCTTTTAATAGTATTACAGTTATATCACGGCGTGTCAGCTTAATGTGGGAGGAAAGCCCAAAGTGATGCAGGTCTCAGACATTTACCACTTCGGTGAAACCCACGAGCACGGGCATGGTGCTGACAAACCTAGAAACATAATCGGGGTGAACCAGGATTCGATCCCACAATCATAGGTTTTTGGCGTGCCCAGGGGACGCCACTCTGCACAGCGAATCGCGGCGCCTTAGACGACTGTGCCAACCGTGCCCCCCATAAAGTAAAGATGGACAACTGACTAATACCCATCATAACACTGAGTCAAGCCAACTATTCTCTATGAGAAAATAATAAGAAACAAGCAAGTTTATGTACTGTATTATGCCAGGCAGCAAGGAAAAGCTGGTCAGTCAGGCCGGTTTCATATCAGAAAAATTACCAAGAAAGTTATGAGGAATTAAAAAAATAGTTTGTATTGCATATTGATATTGATCATGTTGATGTGAGATCAACAAGGACAATCAATATGGGGTTAAACGTGAATCGATGTCAAATTAAGTGTATCGGGTTTTGTATTGTGCAAAGTTTGGTGACGATGCACCAGTGTACCGGTGAATCGTGACATCATTAGAAATTATGCTTTTCTTTTTTGGGGATTGGAAATTAACATGTAATTTATCACTGTAACATTCTCTATAATTATTATTCACTCTCCTTCCTTTTGGCCAAATGCTCTACAAAACTGTTAAACAAAGATGATTTAACAGTGGTTGTTCTATTTGTAAATTGAGGATTTATAATTTTTATTATAATTGGTTTACAAGACTAACCGACAAAATAAATTAGAAATAAGAAGAAAAGAAAAAATGACTTTTGACAAATTTGATTAAGTCAACTTAGGTGAAATGGAAAAAGATGGGACATTTTATCACCGTTGTTCATAAGAAAGGGTGAATAATATGTCTAAAATTCTTTATTCTAACAAAAAAATCCAATCAGTTATCTTTCAGTATCATTTGGCAATCCTGCTTCCATGATGGTGTGACCTGCAAGTTTGTTTTCTATTCATTTGTAGGAGGGCGGTCGGGTAGCCTAGTGGTTAAAGCGTTCGTTCGTTACGCCGAAGACCCGGGTTCGATTCCCGACATGGGTACAATGTGTGAAGCCCATTTCTGGTGTCCCCCGCCGTGATATTGCTGGAATATTGCTAAAAGCGGTGTTAAACAATACTCACTCATTTGTAGGAGTCCTCATCTGGAAGTGACTCGTGAAGATCCAGGGTAGAATAGGTCTTCAGCAAGCCATGCTTGCCGTAAAAGGTGACTGTGCTTGTCGTAAAAGGCGACTAACGGGATCGGGTGGTCAGGCTCGCTGACTTGGTTTGATGCATGTCATCATATCCAAATTGCATGGATCGATGCTCATGATGTCAATCACTGGATTGTCTGGTCCAGACTCAATTATTTACAGACCGCCGTCATATAGCTGGAATATTGCTGAGTGCGGCGTTAAACAATAAACAAACAAAACAAACAAAAAAATCATCTGGAAGTTGAAATTCATTTTTATTGTGTTTTGGACCAAACATTTTGTTTACAACTGCCCAGGAGTAATAAGAGGCCTTACACAGCTGTCTGCTCATTCTTTATGAATAAGTTACCAATCATGGGATTCCATTGTCAGGTCAATATCCGCCCTGTGGATGAGGAGTGGAGACTGTTTGCTGTGGTGACGGACGTTGAACAGAGAGGGGTGACAGTCGGGGTACCTGACCCCCGAGTGCCTACATTTGGGAGGAGGGTTTTGCACCCTGCTGACAGGCCAGGTGAGGAGATGTGGTGTGAGGGAGGAGATATTTGATGTTCCTGACCCCTGGGTGTCTAATGTGGGTCTACACCCTGCTGACAAGCCAGGTGAGGAGATGTGGTGTGAGGGAGGGGATATTTGATGTTCCTGATCCCTGGGTGTCTTATCTGGGTCTACACCCTGCTGACAAGCCAGGTGAGGAGATGTGGGGTGAGGGAGGTGATATTTGATGTTCCTGACCCCTGGGTGTCTTATGTGGGTCTACACCCTGCTGACAAGCCAGGTGAGGAGATGTGGTGTGAGGGAGGAGATATTTGATGTTCCCGACCCCTGGGTGTCTGATGGGGGTCTACACCCTGCTGACAGGCCAGATGAGGAGATGTGGTGTGAGGGAGGGGATATTTGATGTTCCTGACCCCTGGGTGTCTTGTGTGGGTCTACACCCTGCTGACAAGCCAAGTGAGGAGATGTGGTGTGAGGGAGGTGATATTTGATGTTCCCGACCCCTGGGTGTCTTATGTGGGTCTACACCCTGCTGACAAGCCAGGTGAGGAGATGTGGGGTGAGGGAGGTGATATTTGATGTTCCTGACCCCTGGGTGTCTTATGTGGGTCTACACCCTGCTGACAAGCCAGGTGAGGAGATGTGGTGTGAGGGAGGTGATATTTGATGTTCCTGACCCCTGGGTGTCTTATGTGGGTCTACACCCTGCTGACAAGCCAGGTAAGGAGATGTTGGGTGGAAGAGGGCGGTGAAAGAAGTGTTATGACAGACTCCTGTCATCTTGCATACGCATTCCTTTGGGTAAAAAATGTGCTAAGAATGAAAACTGAGGTGATTCTGAGATTCTGAAACCTAGTATATGAGGATCCTGGCATGGCAAAGGGACACAACTTTGTAGAGCGAAATGTGGGAACCTTGGCACCTGGCAATTAATTGTATCAATAGTATCTGAAAATATTTTGAAATAGTAAACATGCTTTTGATCCTGCACATAAAATATTTAATTTCTACTTTCACTTGTTCTGCATCAGACCTGGAGGTAGAAGGGATGGAACTGGAGTCGGAGACGGAGTACCACCGGCGCCGCTACATGTGGGGGATCCCAGAGGGGGTGTCGGACCTGCCTCCAGGGAACTGCTTCCCACTGGAGAGCAACCTGGTGTTTCATCAAGGAGGTAAGCAATGTGACTTTTCTCATCAGCCATCTTCTACACAACCTGCACATGTTCATAAGCTGCGGTTCTTGTCTTAAGGGCGGCGGCGGTAGGGTGAAGTGTCTGGGTTTGATTCACCCACCCCCACACCCACCCCAATGTGTGAAGCCCATTTCTAATGTGCCCTGCCGTGATATTCCTGGAATATTGCTAAAAGTGACATAAACCCATCCCTGCTCATTTTGTCTGAGGCCAGGTTTCAGGAACGCTTTAACATTTTTTTTGTTTGATTGGTATTTCTTAAAGGTTTTCTCACTAAAATGGTTGACTCAAACATTATTGCATTAACCCATGAAGGTCCGGGGTAGAATAGGTCTTCAGCCACCCATGCTTGCCGTAAAAGCCGACTATGCTTGTTGTGGCGACTAATGGGGTCGGGTGGTCCGGCTCGCTGACTTGGTTGATGCATGTCATCATGTTCCAATTTCGTGTATTGATGCTCATGATGTCAGTCACTGGATTGTGTGGTCCAGACTCGATTATTAACATACCGCTGTCATATAGCTGGAATATTGCTGAGTGCTACGTTAAACAACAAACAAACAATGAAAACATGTTAATGAAGTTTAGTTTTCCTCCTTGTCCCAGGGTTCCCATATACATGTGTATGTGGAAGTTATAAGGTTCAGAAGCATGTGCTGTTTATGTGTTAATGATCCAAATCTCGATTTATTAATGCAAGTGAGTTTGGGTTAACGCTGCTTTCAACAGAATTCCAGTTATATCATGTGGGAGGAAAGCCCAAAGTGATGCAGGTCTCAGACATTTACCACTTCGGTGAAACCCACAAGCACGGGTATGGTGCTGACAAACCTAGAAACATAATCATGGACCCATGACCATAGGTTTCTGGTGTGCCCAAGGGATGCAACTCTGCATGAGAGTTACGACGCCTTCGATGACTGGGCCACCCGTGTCCCTTATTAATACAAGTCTTGACTCCTTGTTGAGGTGTCGACAATGAGAAACGTTGTTGTTTCACCATTTTTGATTTGTAGGTTCATGTAAATTTATGTCATGGCGCATATTGACCAGGGTGCCGTTGTACAGAGCGATCTTAGCGCTAAGGAGATCGTAACTCCCATACCTTAACATAGACTTACGACAGTCATAGCACTAAGGTTGTTTTGTACATTGGCACCAAGGAAAATCTGTAAAACAACAAATTAAGTTGGTCTGTCCTAAAAGTACTCCTGCATCTAGAAATGTATGAGAGACTCAAATTCAGTACCCATACATTGTTATCTTGTCAGTTTGATTCCTTAAGTCCGGGATGATGGCTGAGTCTTTTATGCTTGCAGTGAGTTTCCAGAAGGGCTGCTACATTGGTCAAGAGCTGACCGCCCGGACGCACCACACCGGGGTCACCAGGAAGAGACTCATGCCTCTAGTGTTTGACAGGTATGTGTTCAGTCGTCATGCCACAGATGGGTGAGTGTTTGTTTGTTTGTTGTTTAACGCCATACACAGCAATACTACAGCTATGTGATGGTGGTCTGTGAATAATCAAGTCTGGACCAAACAATCCCGTGATTGACATCATGAGCATTGATCCACGCAATTGGGATATGGTGACATGCATCAACCAAGTCAGCAAGCCTGACCACCCGATCCCGTTAGACGCCTCTTACGACAAGCATAGTCGCCTTTTATGGCAAGCATTGGTTGCAGAAGACCTACCCTACCCCAGGTCTTCACGGGTCTGAGTGAATGAGTGAGTTTGGTTTTATGCCTCTTTTAGCAATATTCCAGCAATATCACGGTGGGGGACACCAGAAATGGGCTTCCCACATGGTACCCCTGTGGGGAATCAAACCCGGGCCTATGGTGTGACAAGCGAACGCTCTATCCACTCGGCTAGCACACCTCCCCACAAGTGTGTGACAGATTGTTCCATCGCGCCACTGGTGTTTGACATGCTAAATACAATCTATAATTCTGGTAAAAGTTTACTTTGTTGTGCAAAGAGCTGAGAGATGTGTAGCATTAGGGGGTAACTATTAATGCAACACAACTGTCCATGTTGTTTAAATCAATGACAAGTTACAGTATCAATAGTTACATTGATGCTGTGCTACACAATCTGTACTGATGATTGATAGAAATAATAAATTGAACAAAACAAATCCATTTGATTTGTTTCAAAATACAGATAGGGATCTATCTAGACCTGATCAGAGACCGAAATTCGTCCCCAAGTCTGCAGGAAATGTCAGTACAATATCCCAAATTGGAACAATTTCCCAATTCTTGCTGTTATAGCAATGTCTTTGTAGAGGTGTCTTGTATTCTACTGATGACATGGCATGTATTGAGGAGAGGCTGTAATGCTTAGTTTAATATTTTGCATTGAAAGCGATTTGAAATTATCTCTAAATTTTTGAAAATAAGAAGTTGAAAAAAAATCAAAATTTTGAGCAAAATAGAAATGTTCCCAATATGCCTACCATGGGGACTTAATTTGGAATCCAAGACGAAATCACTGACATAACTTATGCAAGATGTTTCAGGCTTTGCCATCTTGTCAAGTTATGCCAGGAAGTCTACGTTTAGGACAGTACATTGGCTTATCAACAAGGCCTGGGTTCAATTCTCCACATTGTGTAGAGGTCATTTCTTCTGTTCCATGCAGTGATATTGATTGAATATTGCTAAAAGCGGAGTAAAACCATACTCACTCACTCACTCCCAGTGTATCATATCTCAGTTTGGTTTTCATCAATACCCTGGACCCTTTCATCACCAACCTTTGTTTTGAGTCCAGGTTGACTGACACGACACTAAACATAGCTGTCCAATCAAATTATCATGACTGAAGCAAGCAGTGATATCCCCCTGTACTTGACTTGCCTTTGCATGCCATCTCAAATACCATCCAGAACATCTTATTGCTTTAGGATCCCAATCTTAATACTGAGGAAAACATCTTTCTATGGCGATGAGACCACCTCTAGTGGAAAGGGTATCTGCCCAGAGAGCTGAATATCGTGGTCGATCCGCGGCGAAGTTATACCTAAAGACGTTAAAAGATGGTACTTGTTGTCACCCTGCCTGGTGGTTGGCATTAAGGGCGAAATGAGGAATGGTTGGCTCAGGGTCAGTGTACCCTGAGGAGGGTATCCATGTTGAACTGTGGCATGGTATCTCGGTGGGCTGGCATGGGCTACCATTGGCTTGCACAAGCAGCCACACACACACACACATCCATGTCGCTAAACACGTTCAATAATCTTGATCGAGGTGTTAAACCACATTTTACCTCACCTTTATGGTGGTGAACTGGCCAGGGTATATATCTTAATAAAATGGAAACGTGATACACTGAATAATTGACAATGTCACGTACTGTAGTGGCTTTATAAACCACCCACACTAGTCCCCCTGTTTAACATCACCCCGACTGACTGATTTCAGAGATGGCGGTCCCATAGAGACGGGGACGAACATTACAAGAGATGATGGCAAAAATGTTGGCAAATTCAGAAACTCAGTTGGCAAATATGGACTCGGACTGATTCGCATGGCTGATGTCAAAGGTCAACTGTCTGTAGCCAATACGAGTGGAGAGGCTGTTCCAGTGATTACCAACCCTCCCTTGTGGTGGCCGCACGAAGCACAAATACAGTGGAAGACTGAGAGAGGGAAATGATCCCATGTGTTCAACACACCGTGGAAAACTATGTATAGTGCAAAACCTCTTGAGATTACGATATAGAAGTTTGTTAATTGTAACAAGATTTTAGTTGTGTTATTGAATATACTGATGGTGAATGTGTGCCTGTTGTTTTTTTACTTTATGATCGTGGAGTCTGAAAATGTTTTTGGAGAGGGGTCCTTCCCATGCAGATCATCTCAACTAACAATACTTATAAGACCAAATTGGTATTTGAAATAGTTTCCCGAATAACCTCTTGGCCAGATAGTTTAGGCTGTCACAGGGATTCATCTAGACCTGCTTAGAGGCCGATATTGAGCCCAAGTCTGCAGCAAATGGCAGTAAAAATATCCAAATTGGAATTACCGTATTCGACGTTAGAAGCGCCCAGTGCGCTCTCAAAATTAGAAATAGGGGGCTCTTATAAGAATATTATTTTGGTGAAAAAAACAGAGTTGACACTTAAATTTCGTGGTTTATGCTGACAGCCTGAAGTGTTTTTGTATGACAGATATATGTTTTAGTCTGTTTTCAGTCGTACAAATGGGTATCTCTCATACCCTCCCGTCTAGTCGCACGTTTAGAGGAAGCCAGAAGCTGGAATGTAAACATTAAACTTGTTTCCGTCCGGTTGCGCACGCACCTCCCTATGACATGTCACAAATCTCTCAGCGCGCCTCTGGGCTGGTCGCTCGAGAAAGTCTTTCGCGGTAGACTGCTAGTTTGTATTCTACTAGTACTTATCGCTTATCTACAGTTGTTCTAATAAAGTCATAATATGTCTTACCTGTAGACTCCTGGAATGTAATCCTTGGTAATCCATTGTTTGTGTTCAACGCGTGTTTCGCTGTTTGACAGTGATTCTACACGTGGCAATATGTCGGGCATTTGTGCCTCGTGTCAACGAAAACTGTCTAAAGTAGACCCTCACAAGTATTGTCCTTCCTGCATCATTAAGGACGGGTTTTCAACGTATTCGTGGAATAAACGTTGTAAAAAATGTGAGAACTTGTCTTCAATAAACTTTAACTTGTATCTTCGTGCGTTGGCGAAGCGGGCCACTGACCAGCGCTACAAGCGGAGATGGTCATCGGTTGGATCCTTGGACTCTCCGCATCAGGCCCTGGGGGTGGCGAGTCGACCAAACCTCAGAAATCAGTTGAAAAAGACCCGCCTCAGTCAACTTCAGTTTTCGACAAGACACGTGACCGTTCGCCTGCTGATGATACTACCCGCACGACTGGTCTTCGTCATTCGGTTGATCGAGAGCGTCACTCAGCCTCCCCCGTTACGGCGGGACCGGGTGGTGACGAGGACCATGAGGGGACTACGGTCCCCAGTCGGTCCGCATCTCGTTCTACCAACGACGATAGGGACGTCGTGCGGGACGACAGTGGACACAGAAGTCGTTCCCGTTCAAGTCGGGACGACAGGATGAGTGCCTCGTCGAGAGACAGTACACGACACGAGGGCGTTCATCGTCATCGTGGTCGTCGAATGTACGATTCGGACGATAACTACGATGGGGATCGTAGTACTTCTACAGTTAGAGATCGTAGCCCTCGTCCCCACGGGGACGTGCGACGTTCTCGCAGGGAGAGTTCGGGGGTTCAGCGTCGTAGTGAAGATAGTGACAGAACGACGACCTCGTCTCACTTTCATATCGACCCGGCTTTGATAGCCCAGATCACGGCGGCGGTCCTCGCCTCGACGGCGTCGACCAAGAAGGATACGACTACGTCAGGGGTCCATGGCCCGTCAACTATTCTACGATGGGGATCGTAGTACTTCTACTGTTAGAGATTGTAGCCCTCGTCCCCACGGGGACGTGCAACGTTCTCGCAGGAAGAGTTTGGGGGTTCAGCGTCGTAGTGAAGATAGTGACAGAACGACGACCTCGTCTCACTTTCATATCGACCCGGCTTTGATAGCCCAGATCACGGCGGCGGTCCTCGCCTCGACGGCATCGACCAAGAAGGATACGACTACGTCAGGGGTCCATGGCCCGTCAACTAGTACAGCAGCTCCTTCATCTACGCCTCCACACTCGACGTCGACGATGGATTGTGACCAAAGCCAGCAAAGAACGATGACAACCCGACGCGTGCGGGCTTTAAGGTCGGAGATACACCGCAGTCTCTTCAGTTTTCTCCTCCCGATGTCTTCAGAGCCATGGCTCACGATATGGACCAGAACTTTGGCTCTGCTCTGCCTGGGCAGAGCTTCTGCAAGCCGCCTGGTCGATCTCGTTACCCGATCTATGGCATGCCGTTTTCGTCACCCATGACTAGGGATTTGGACTGGGGGCTACTCTTCAAGAGACAAGTACCCTCAACATTTGGAATCCATGGGCACTGCTGTTCGTCACCAGCTGCAAACGCTTGCTATGCTGTCGACAGCGATCAAGGCCCTCTCAGTGTACTTTGAGGTGAAAGAACCCCAGGACGAGGACGACAGGACGGTGCCATCGGTCCTCACCTGTATGCAACGGTGGATCTAGGACGTCCTCGCCCAGTCCCGATATGTATCGGGCCAGATTACTACGGCGCGTCGCCATGGTTACATCGACTGCACTGACCTACCTGATCGTCATGGCAGGTCACTCTTACGGGCCCCATGGACATCGCAACAGTTGTTCGACGGTCGTACCAACGACGTTCTGGACAAGTACTCCAGGGAAGCCGAGCGTGACATCATCATTTCGGCTTCACCCTACCTGTCCAGACGGCCACCGGTTTCGAACGCCCCACGACGACGTTACCGAAACGAGAATGTAGGGACGTGCCTCGACAGCCGTCCCGCAAGGGAGGTTCCGACAGGAAAGGTCGCCAGGTCTCCTTTTCCAAGTTTCCCAGAGGGGGAAAGTACCAGCGGGGGAGGAAGTGAGGTCCCTTCCCCCGCCGTCGCCGTGGTTGGAGTCTCCCCCGGTGACACTACCTTTAGACGAGCTACCGGTAGGGGGGCGACTTCGTCACTATGCCCACAAGTGGGTTTTCCTCAACGCAACATACCTCCAACCACCCGACACATTCACCTTGATATCCCTCAGCTCTCTGCGTCGGATGATATTACCGAACGACTTCCTCGTCTCGTTAGACCTTCAGGACGCGTATCTACATGTACCAATAGCTTCCGAGTTCCAGAAGTACCTCCGATTCGAATACCAAGGTATTCATTACCAGTGGGCGGCCCTCCCGATTGGAATTTCTACGGCCCCGTGCTTTTTCACACGGATCATGAAGACGGTCGTAGAATGGCTCCATCGGCAGGCGATCAGGGTCGCCTTCTACCTAGACGAAGGGCTCCAAGCTCACCAGTTTACAGTAGCCCTTCAAGGTGGGTTGGCGACCACCCTGAGTCTACTACGGTACCTCGGGTGGATCGTCAACTTTCAAAAGTCGGACTTGGTACCACCTCGGGTTCTACAGTACATTAGGATACGCTTCCAGACGGGAGTCAATCTGGTCCAGGAACCTCAAGACCGTTGGGACAAGATTGTCAGCAGCGTTCCGTGACGTCTACATGCCTCGTCGTCGGTGCAAACGTGGCAGGAAGTCCTCGGTCTGTTGACATCGGCCCAAGACTTGACCCGTCGAGGTCATCTTCAACTTCGTCCGCTGCAGAGATTGCTGTACCCCCACCTGGAGTTTCCCAATCTCCTGGTTCCACTTCCGGCGCAGCTACGTTGTCATCTGGAGTGGTCATCGAACGTTTGCGAGGGCGTCTTTATGAACGAGCCTCCGTTCATACTACACCTATTCGTAGACGCGTCATTGGAAGGCTGGGGAGCGCACTTCGGGGACGACCAAGCGGCCGGGCGGTGGTCGCCAGTAGAAAAGGTCCTCCACATCAACTACCTCGAGATGGAAGCAGTGATTCGGGCGGTCGAGTTTTGGAAACTTCGACTCCGTCGGAAACGGCTGATGATACAGTCGGACAACTCCACAGTCGTCCACTGCGTCAACAAACAGGGAACAACTCAGTCGGCGGCCCTTCTGGACCTGACATTCAGGTTCTTCGCCCTCGTCAACGACTTGGACATGGGCTTACGCGCCCGTCACATCCCGGGGGCCAAGAATGTGATTGCCGACGCCCTGTTGAGACCATCGAGGCCGTCTCCCACGGAGTGGATGATCCAACCGACAGTCTTTCATCTGCTGACAGATCGACTCTGGTTGCCCCAAGTAGATCTCTTTGCTGCCCCGTACAACAACCGCCTCCCTCGATTCGTGTCGCCGGTTCCAGACCCATGGGCATGGGACCACGACGCTCTAGCGATATCGTGGGGGGTCTAGACGCTTACGCGTTTCCACCAACGGTGCTGTTACCATCGCAACTGGTGAAAGTTCGTCAAACGGCCAACCTACGTCTGCTTTTGGTCGCGCCTTATTGGCCGGCCAGAACATGGTTCCCGGAACTTCTTCAGATCATCGTTCAACCACTGTTCCCGTTGCCAGATCGAGACGACCTCCTTCTTCATCCTCACACCGACGACTTGCATCCGGGGATAAAGAACTTCCAGCTTCACGCCTGGGTTGGCTTAAGACCTCGTTAATGAAGAAAGGCTATTCGGCTAAAGCGGCAGCGCTTGTCTCGTCGGCACATCGAGTTACGACTCGTAAGCTGTAAGATGACAAGTGGACCACTTTCTCCATTTTCGCCAGGTCTCATGGCTTCAACCCGGCGGTAGCGACCCCACCACAGGTGGCGGAGTTCCTAGTCTCTCTCCGGTCATCTCGGCGTCTGAAAGGGTCGACGATCTCGACATATCTGGCAGCTTTGGCTTCAGTAGTGCCGTCTCCTACGGGCGACAAGCTCACTAACGTGCTGGAGTTGCAGAAGATTCTACGTGCCTTCATGGTTGAAGATCAGTCACGTAAATTCCGACCGCCGGCCTGGGACCTCGATGTCGTTCTGCGCAACCTGTCTCGTCAGGCTTACGAGCCTCTCGATAAGGTCGCGTTCGACTTATTGTCTCAGAAAACGTTTTTTCCTTCTCTCGCTGGCTACGGCTGCGAGAATTACGGAAATACATGCCATTGACGTCGGTCGGATTACGTTCGATCAGCGTAACCATGGCAACGTCCATCTTGGTCTCCGATGGGATTTTTTAGCGAAAAATTAACTTCCTGGCCAAGATCCGAGAATATTCAACATTCCTTCCTTGTCTGCCATTATGGGCCCTCATGATCACGCTGATCTCACCTTGTGCCCAGTTCGTGCGCTTCGTATTTACCTGCAGCGTTCTGAACAGCGACGACAACATTTTCGACGGCTGTTCATACCGCTCTCAACCAATGCAAAGAATGAGATTACACGTAATACTCTCTCATTTTGGTTGAGAGCGGTAATTCTCAGAGCTTACGAGGCGCAAGGACTCGCACCTCCCACCTCCTCTCATCCGCACGAAGTTCGAGCCATCGCTTCAACATTAGCACTCCACAGTAATTGTTCGCTACAAGCTATTATGGAGGGCTGCTTTTGGAGATCTACTTCAGTGTTTGCTTCGCATTATCTTAGAGATATCTCCACAGAAGATGTTGAAGGACTCAAACAGTTTGGTCCACTCGTGGTGGCACAACAGATCTCTCAGAAAAGACAGTGAATTTGTGTTTTATTCACTTTGGAGTTCTTGCTCGACACTTCGTGACATATAACAGGTTACAATAAAAGCTGTTGGTGAATGTACGCATTCTTATGGTTTTTTGTTGCGTGTAGTACTTCTGTTTTTTATTATGGTTATTCGGTGTATGCATCGTCTTCCCATACATTGTAATACTGCTCGTATTTTTTAGTTACCTTGTCTACGGCGAGTTGTTCTGTAACTAAATTATACGCCGACCACACTTCGATCGCAATTCAACTGACGTGTGCAGTTGTCCTGTCGCTTCGATAATTATTTGTGAGTCGAAGAGCATTAAACATGCTGTTTTAGTTACCTTGTATACTGCGAGTTGCTCTGTAACTAAACTATTCGTCGACCACACTTCGATCGCTGTTCAACTGACGCGTGCAGTTGACCTGTCGCATCGATAATTAGTTGTGTGTCGAAGAGCATTAACCATGCTGTGCGTTCGTGATAAACAACTTGTCTCGTCCGTGCATCTGGTCGAATGTTCTATTGTCACTACAGGGGTGAGGAACTTGGTACATTCGACGTGAAAGTGGTCACTGCCTGATTACTTTCCCGACCCTCCTTCCAGTGTTCCGTCGAATTCTACCCATTTGTACGACTGAAAACAGACTAAAACATGGGTTTTTCAGATTAAAAACGATGTTTTATTGGTCTGTTTTCAGTCGTACGTTCCCACCCAGCCATCCCCACAGGGAAGTAATCCAGTCCAGTCCTGCTTGATGGCTTATTCTTCAAGATTTGTGACATGTCATAGGGAGGTGCGTGCGCAACCGGACGGAAACAAGTTTAATGTTTACATTCCAGCTTCTGGCTTCCTCTAAACGTGCGACTAGACGGGAGGGTATGAGAGATACCCATTTGTACGACTGAAAACAGACCAATAAAACATCGTTTTTAATCTGAAAAACCCATTTTTCGGAAATTGAATTGCCCATGATTAAGGGTGCATATAACACACGAGTGCGTATTATATGCGAATAAATAAGTCTTGTATACATTGATCAATCGGAAGGGGTGCTAATTGGGATTGTTCACTCGCCAATATATTAGCAAATGTCGCCGTGGGCGCTTATTAGAGCGGACCGCTTATTACGTCGAATACGGTATATGTTTCCCAATTCCTGCTGTTATAGATATAGCTAATGTTATGGCTTGGTAAAGGTGACTTATATTTCACTGAGAACAGGACGTAGATGGAAGAGGATTGAATGCTTAGTTAAACATTATTGCAGTGAATGCAGTGTTAATATTTAAAAATAAAATACCCCTAAATTCAGGAAAATAAGAATGTTATTAAAAAAATCCCAATTATGAACAACATAATGATTTTTCCTAATTTGCCTGTCAAGGGCACTCAGTTTATAATTCTAGATGAATCCCTGCTATTGAGTAAACCCATCCTGTCTGTCTACTTTGATAATCCCTGCTGTCGAGTAAACCCATCCTTGGGCTAAAACAAGGACTGACAGCTCGGGAGTCAGTATACTGTGTCTGAGTAGGGTATTCATGTTAAACTGCGGCATGGTATCTCAGTGAGCTCGCACTATAAATCGGCATCAGTCCGGACTAGTACAAAAAGTCTCACACACAATGCACGCATGAACACACGGTGTTTTATAAGTGCAATAGTCTTGGGCGCTACGTTAAGTCCAATTTCACCTAACCTCACCCAAACAACTTAATACCTGTAACAAAAAATGTGTGAAATCAGTTGAATATCCATTTTTCTTTATCATATTCTCATTATAATTGAGAATATTTATCCCCAAAAGATCTTTAGTGGGCATCTAGAAATATGCTCTGTCCATCTGTCCCGAGCGTTGCCCTTTAACCCCATTAATATTTCTATACACAAAAGGAGAGTGTTGAACTTGTGCCGTTTGCTATTCACAAAATATAAAACAAAAAAGAAAAGTAAAACTGTTGCCTTTCCAATCGACAAGGTTGACTTTTGTCAAATATGGGTAGGGTTTGTATCCAGGGAATAATTAATAAATCATTCAATATTTCTTAGTGAGATGTTGTATTCTCATTGAGGATGTGCTGAACTTGTGTGTTTTAAGCTTGTCAGGAAATGTTAAACAAAATATATGGAGTTGTGAAATGTTGTATTATGTACGAGGGTTAATCGAAAAGTCCTAGGCCTCATTGTCAGCTCCCAAGACAAACACCACCGAGTGCTGCGGAATATGTGCATTATGTCATCTTCAAATATGTCTTCTGTTGATTCACAATATCAGATTGTTGTGTTGTGTGGGTTAGGTTGAGATGGTTTTGCATGCACATGTCAAAAATGACTAAAACAATCAAAGCTCTTGTATATGCCGTCTATTTCTTATTTAGAAGGCAAGTACATATGCAGTTTAACAATACTCAGAAGAAAAATGTTTAGCAACACCTTACATTCTTTGAAAAACTGAAAGAAATGTATGTGTACAGTTTGATAAATGTTTCCAGATTGGGATAACACCTACATACTGCATGAGCACATCACACCTTGCCTACATGCTGCATGAGCACACCACACCTTGCCTACATGCTGCATGAGCACATCACACCTCACCTACATGCTGCATGAGCACACCACACCTTGCCTACATGCTGCATGAGCACACCACACCTCACCTACATGCTGCATGAGCACATCACACCTCACCTACATGCTGCATGAGCACACCACACCTTGCCTACATGCTGCATGAGCACACCACACCTCACCTACATGCTGCATTAGCACACCACACCTCACCTACATGCTGCATGAGCACACCACACCTCACCTACATGCTGCATGAGCACATCACACCTCACCTACATGCTGCATGAGCACACCACACCTTGCCTACATGCTGCATGAGCACACCACACCTCACCTACATGCTGCATTTGCACACCACACCTCACCTACATGCTGCATGAGCACACCACACCTCACCTACATGCTGCATGAGCACATCACACCTCACCTACATGCTGCATGAGCACACCACACCTTGCCTACATGCTGCATGAGCACACCACACCTCACCTACATGCTGCATTAGCACACCACACCTCACCTACATGCTGCATGAGCACACCACACCTCACCTACATGCTGCATGAGCACACCACACCTCACCTACATGCTGCATGAGCACATCACACCTCACCTACATGCTGCATTAGCACACCACACCTCACCTACATGCTGCATGAGCACATCACACCTCACCTACATGCTGCATGAGCACACCACACCTTGCCTACATGCTGCATGAGCACACCACACCTCACCTACATGCTGCATGAGCACATCACACCTCACCTACATGCTGCATGAGCACACCACACCTTGCCTACATGCTGCATGAGCACACCACACCTCACCTACATGCTGCATGAGCACACCACACCTCACCTACATGCTGCATGAGCACATCACACCTCACCTACATGCTGCATGAGCACACCACACCTTGCCTACATGCTGCATGAGCACACCACACCTCACCTACATGCTGCATTAGCACACCACACCTCACCTACATGCTGCATGAGCACACCACACCTCACCTACATGCTGCATGAGCACATCACACCTCACCTACATGCTGCATGAGCACACCACACCTTGCCTACATGCTGCATGAGCACACCACACCTCACCTACATGCTGCATTAGCACACCACACCTCACCTACATGCTGCATGAGCACACCACACCTCACCTACATGCTGCATGAGCACATCACACGTCACCTACATGCTGCATGAGCACACCACACCTTGCCTACATGCTGCATGAGCACACCACACCTCACCTACATGCTGCATGAGCACATCACACCTCACACCTCACCTACATGCTGAAATGATCTTGTTGCTGTTATTTGCACAGTGTTTTCCCTATCCAATTGTCACAAGGAATCTGTTATTCGAATTTAATATTTAATACCATTATGATACCTTATTCAAAGACTGTGGTTATGTTTTATCTTCAGAAAAGGAAGGTGTTGCCCAACATTTTACTGATATTTGTAAAGACTGATTCTGATTTTAAAGGTTTTTCTCACAGATAAAGTTTAAGCGGTGATGACACTGATAATCATTCCACTTGTAATTAAACTCCTTTCTCAGTCCCAGACAGTTTTCAACTCCTTTGTCATTATTAGGGTTGTTACGATCCCAGTTGGTGTACGTCATGGCCTTGTTCCCCTCCCACAGCCACTTCCCTTCAACGTTCATGTCAGTAGCACCAAGCCAGTAATCAGTACCTGAAAGGAGTAAGTGAGTGAGTGAGTGAGCGAGTATGGTTTAGCGAAGCTTTTGGCAATATTCAGCTATAAAAGGAGGGGAACACCAAATGTGAACTTCACACATTGTCCCCACGAGGAGGTTCAGTCCCGGGCCTAAGGTTCGGGCGAAGGCTTTATCCACTAGGCTATCCCTGTCATGATCAAGAGTTCACAATGTTAATAAATTACACTTTTTCAGACGGCACACATCACCCGCGACGTTTCGAAATAACAAGAATGAAATAATCAAGTTGGTAGGCTAGCTTCATTGGTTAAATTAGCGACTTCAGCCAATGGTGGTAAGCCATCACAGATGATGTAGGAACATAGTGTATACAAACGGTTGAAGAAGTGATGATGCCACTTCCCAAACAGTACACAATTGCGTTGGGATTGGAAGAACAGTACATGTACAGAGTGAGTGAGTGACTTGGACGTATTCTAGTTATACCACAACGTGTCAACATAATGATGGGAGGAAAGCCCGAAGGTCTTACACCTTTACCCTTTTGGGTATGGTGCTGATAAACCAAGAAACATAATCGGGGCAAACCGGAATCGAATCGAATCATAGGTTTCTGGCATGCCCAAGGGACGCAACTCTGCACAGCGAATTGCGGCGCCTCAGTATACTAGTATACTAGCATCACCTAGCATCCTGCTGTACTTAGTGATGTGTTCAATTAGGAATGGCAAAAACTGCCACAACACCTGCCATGTTGTAACTTCTTGTTCTATTTTTTCCAATAAGTATGCTATTTATGTGACTCAAAATGTTCTGGTAATGTAATAAATGTATATATATGTTAAGGCAATGCCAATTCTTAGCCAAAACACATCTCAATTTGGCAGAGGTAAAATTGTACAATAACAAATACGATATATATTTTTTAACAGAAGTGAAATGTTCTTCAATCATATCTAAGTAAAATGCCATTGCGTTTGCCTCAAGATGCTTCACATCTGCTGAATGCAGTCATCCAGCAGAGTTGTGAAACTAGCGACGGTGCTTTATTCTCTTCCAGGTGCATGTAATCAGGGCCTGGTTAGGCCTCCTACCACTACCAGGGAGTCTACCATAACTCACCCTTGCCACGACGTCTGACATGGCCCCTCAGAAAGTCATCCTCAACTTTGCTGGTTATCCTCGCCAGGTGACTCTGCATATACTGACAGTATGTCTGAAAATATAAAATTGACTCCACTGAGTGTTTTTGTACAGGCACGATCGAACACTGAAACATTGGTAGTAATTGTCGTAAATAAAAACACAAAACCTTCGGGGCGTCGGGAAGCCTAGTGGTTAAAGCGTTCGGTCGTCACGCCGAAGACCCGGGTTCGATTCCCGACGGGGGAACAATGTGTGAAGCCCATTTCTGGCGTCCCCCGCCGTGATATTGCTGGAATATTGCTAAAAGTGGCATTAAACCATACTAACTCACTCACTCACAAAACCTTCACTACTAAAAACTATATAAAAAAGTATACTCCGTGTATGTGTACTACCAAATGTTAATGTTTAATGGTACGTCTTGTAGAGGCTAGTGAGAAGCCAATCTGGAACACAGTTGCCATGGACATATTTTCCGCTACAATCCGGGTTTCACCACCCATGCCTCAGGTACCCACAGCAAGAAAAGACAGTGTAAGGAATGTTGTTGGTTAGTTTGTTGTTTAACGCCGCACTCAGCAATATTCCAGCTATATGACGGCGGTCTGTAAATAATCGAGTTTGGACCAGACACTCCAGTGATTAATATTATGAGCATCGATCCACGCAATTGGGATCGATGACATGCATTAACCAAGTCAGCGAGCCTGACCACCCGATCACCATTGATCAAAGCGTTGTTGCCGTCATGGTAGAATGGAGATAAACCTACTGTGTTTTGAAATTTGATGTAGTCCCACTGTAGAATAGAAACCTCTTTAGCGCGAGGTTCCAAATTATAATAAAGAGGTTTCTATTCTACAGTGGGACTACATCAAATTTCAAAACACAGTAGGTTTATCTCCTAAATATATATATTTTGATCATGAACCTACATTGTTTCAAAAAGAGCAACATTTCATTCATAAATACGCGCCTAAGTTAAATGTAAAGGCGTAAGTTATTTGTCCATTGTCACCTTGGTATTGTGACGTCATAGTTTCCTAAATGTTATGACGGCACGAGGGGAGATTTTATTCTGGGGGCGAATATATTTCGTGACACCGGCAGCCAGCCAGCATAGTATCTCTGCCACAGGCCAGTGCCATGTGACGATTCGTCACATCTTTCACAGTCCATTCAAGATATTCCAAGATATTCCATTCATCCGTTTCATGTTTGACAAGTCTACACATTATCATAAACAAATGTCAAAGAAAGTATCCCAATACGTGAACATCTACTTGAAGCCCAACGGAGAGCTAGCGATACGGTCACTTTGATGTATACATATATATTGTCATGCAACTCACTGTCGCAGTTGTAGTAGCATATCTATATAATTATGCAAAACAATATGCAAAGCTCCCCCAAATACTTGCACTAGTCCGTTCTATACTGATACTAAAAAGCGCGTATGTTTACAAACAAGAGAAAAGTCCGGTCACGTGATATGCAAATTAGCCTGTGGCAGTGGTGTTGTGCTGAGTCACCACTGCGCCGGAGTGTGATCGCTGCAACGAAATTGCATCACAATGCTTTGCAGACCATTGTGATGTCACCGGTTACCATGACGTCACAATCAAATGACATCACTAATGGCTCTGCTACTGAAGCTGTTAGCAGTACTCTTTACACTCAAGACACTGCTTATTACTGTTTACAAACTGAAAAAGTTGGAAAATGATGATGGATGATAAATAAAATCTCACCCTTGTGTCTTTTGATATCAAATATATCAACACTCGTTGATATATTTGATATCAAAAGACACTCGGGTGAGATTCTCTATTTGACAAACAGATAATTAAGAAAATACAAGATTTGATTGACGGCGCCATTGCTTTATTTGTTTTTGTTTTGAGAAAGAAGTAATACAATAAATTATAATACGGTTATAACGAACACGCTTATAAAGGAACTGACGGATATAACGAACTTATTTTTTGGTCCCGACTACTTGCTGTAGTCATGGTGTATGTGTACTTATAACGAACTACGGTTATAACGAACTAAAATTAGTAGTTCCTATGAGTTCGTTATAACCGTAGTTTACTGTAGTTTGAAAGATGTAAACAAACCTTTAAGAGAAACCTTATCTTTATGTCACAAAGCTATACGTGTACATACGAAAAACTAATTATGAAAATGTTTCTTAAAGTATATATATATATATATATATATATATATATATATATATATAGTAATAATTAAATAAGTGGAGTAAGATTGAACACAGTTTTAATAGGCTAGCGCTTTCAACTCGTACCACGTACGAGTCTCATCAGGCCATAACTGAATAACGGACATGTAGTAGTAACATATAGTTACGTGACGTCATAACATTTAGGAAACTATGACGTCACAATACCAAGGTGACAATGGACAAATAACTTACGCCTTTACATTTAACTTAGGCGCGTATTTATGAATGAAATGTTGCTCTTTTTGAAACAATGTAGGTTCATGATCAAAATCTATCAGATAGATTTTCGGATGATATGAGTTTATCATTGATGCATTGAAGTTGGTTATTACCATTAACATGTTTTATTTTGATGGATCTTATTATTCACAAAAGAAAGGAGTAGCCATGGGTACTAAGGTAGCCCCTACTTATGCAACCCTTGTGTTGGGATTTTTAGAGAATATGTTTTATGATAAGGTGAGAGATACTCTTGGTGAATCTATGAAAGAACAAATTGAATATTTATGGAAAAGGATTTTAGACGACTGTTTTATCATATTAAAAACCAGTGAAAGTCAACTTACCGCTGTTCATGAAATTTTAAATTCACTTAATGCGTCACTCAATTTCCATATGGAAAAAAGCGAATCCAGTTTAACCTTTCTCGATGTAAGAATCAATTTAATATCTGGGAGATTTGTACAAACTGATATCTTTTATAAAGATACTGACACGCACCAATATTTGGATTTTGGATCATGTCACCCGTATCATACAAAACGAAATATCCCTTACTGTCTCGCAAGACGTATTTGTACCATTGTTTCCGGGAATGATGTTAAAACTACTCGCCTTGCTGAACTTAAGAGTTTCCTACTGCATCAAAATTATCCCACAAAGCTAACTGAAGATAGCATACAGAAGGCGCTAAGTATTAAGCAACTAAAACTGAGAGAAAAGTCTGAAGAAAACAATATGGGGAATAATTTAACTCCAGTATCTACCTTCAACCCTAATCATGAAAAAACATTATCCATGGTTCAACGATACCTGCCTATTTTGAATCAAAGTATTAAAATGGAGAAGATATTAAGCAAATACAAAATTATCAACAGCCAAAGACAACCCAAAAATCTTAGAAAGATTTTGACAAGTTCTAGATTTGATTCTGTTGTCATCACTCCACAGGTTTCTAAGTGCGGTGACAAACGTTGCCTAACTTGCAGCAATATAATTGAAGGCTGTTCAGTCCAAATAACAAAGGACACTAAATTTACTGTAAAACAAAACATGTCTTGTGATACTAGAAAACTTATTTACTTGATTGTTTGTAGTGGATGTAATGAAAAGTATATCGGAAAGACAGAACTTAAATTAAAAAGAAGAATGAATCTTCACCGTTCACAAATAAAGGAGCCACACAACCGCACGATTCCACTCAGTGAACATTTAGAAGCATGTGGAAACGGCAACTTTTTAGTTTTCCCGCTATATAAGCTAAATTTTGATCATGAACCTACATTGTTTCAAAAAGAGCAACATTTCATTCATAAATACGCGCCTAAGTTAAATGTAAAGGCGTAAGTTATTTGTCCATTGTTACCTTGGTATTGTGACGTCATAGCTTCCTAAATGTCATGTTACTACCACATGTCCGTTATTCAGTTATGGCCTGATGAGACTCGTACGTGGTACGAGTTGAAAGCGCTAGCCTATTAAAACTGTGTTCAATCTTACTCCACTTATTTAATTATTACTATATTGTGCCTGAGAGTTAGAACTTTACTGTGCTTTTATATATATATATATACAAAAATGAGGTAAATGTTCACTCGGTGTACATGTAATATATAATAAAATAATAAAGTCCACGTTAGTCCATCATCTTCTTTATATCAGTTTCATACATAGTACTTTCGCTGTCTCATGACAGCTCTTCAGTGTAACTGACATATACATATAATGACGTCATACTTATGATGACGTCATAAATTACAACTGTGACGTCACAATGTATTTACACACTCCAGCGACGACACTGAAGAGCTGTCATGAGACAGCGAAAGTACTATTTATTACTTGCCCGTGAAGAGATCACCCGTTTAATAAACATACAGCTGTATTACACATTGTGTAATACCAAAACGCGTGCTTATGTACTCTCGGAACACGTTTCTAGAACAAATATTGAAAGCTCTCAACATCCCTTGGCTTATTCAACGACATTGCATTTGGAGATGATAGATCACTGAGAGGAGCTTATGCACACTCGATGACCCAAGCAACCTTGTTGCTAGGCTGACGTCATATGGCATTGTTTCGCCAAAGGATCTTGCAACAAAATTCCACAAATTACGTCATCGGGTATTGTGACGTCATTGTAAACTTTGAGGTGCAAGGCCCCGTTCCACAAGGCGATCGTACTGTAGCACGACAGTCGTTGGTCTAAGTTAAAGTATGTGAGTTGCGATAACCTTAACGCTACTATAATTTTGTGGAACGGACGACTGAATTCTAAAGGTGGACCGTTGTATGGTATTAAATTCATACGTTTCAACTTTTGACGTGTTTGAAGTATTATTGTGTTAAACTCAATTAGATTATGCCGTTGATCGTGCAGGTGTCAGCCTATTCACACTCAACAGTATAATTCTAAAAACGTTATAAATGGCAAGTAATAAATAAAATACTAAACTCGCTCCCGTGTAAAACCAATTTGATGAAACTCGTGAATAGTTGTGGTATCTGACTCGCTTTCGCTCGTCAGATACCACAACTATTCACTCGTTTCATAAAATTGTTATTACACGGGAGCTCGTTTAGTATTCTATATGTATGAAACT